AGTTCAATGGTAGAACAACTATTTGTGGCATAGTTAATTTGAGTTCAATTCTCAATAACCGCCCTAGGTAATTAAGTTTAGTTTGTTTTTTATATAGGCAGACTTCTATGTAATAAGCACATAAAGTTAGGCATACAATAATCGTAGTGATTACACACGACAGGTTAGTCATAAATTATTTAGTTATTTTGTCAGTCTAGCTTTATTTCATAGCACAAAGGATATTTATTAATAGCTTTAATTTGTGCAGTCGCATGGTAGTGTTATGGTTAGTAAAGCATAAATATTTCTTAAAATTCATCGCTGTAGTAGCATAGCTTGCGCAAGCAAGCAAGCTAGCACTGCGTTACGCGCACTAAAATAAATATAGCTACACACTCCTGTTTTAGTAAAAACAAAAAAGGATTTTATAGAAGCAACCAAAATTAGTATACTAAATATATATTTAGTATAATTAGCCTTTATAGTTTAATCGGTTAAAACTCATATTTCATACGTATGTAACGAAGGTTCGAATCCTCCTATAGGCTTGCAGGGTTGTGTGCTTAGTACTAGGGTATGTATCTTTATTCTAAAGAAGCCAGTCTAGTATGCTTTGCATAATGCTATCCCTGCTTTACAGAAAAGAAAAATAAATAAAAAAAATGTTACTAATATCTGTATTATCCACCTTATTATCTAACGCCGTTAATGCTAGACGTGATATATCTATTCTATATAATAGAATAGCTATATTAATTTTATTTTATTGTATATTAAATGATTTATCTTCATTAAATATTGTTACTAAAGGTATTGGTATACATGGAGGTTTATTATTAGTAAATAATATTACATTAATATTTCATATATTTGTATATTTAGTAAGTGCTTTAATATTAGTGTTAACTAGTTTCTATCCTAGAAAAGTATGAATATCTCAACATTCATCCTTACAATCTTTATTATTTAATAATTTTGTTTATTATAATACAAAGATAATAAATAAAATGGGAGAACAATATAAGTTAACTGAATATCCTTTAATTATATTATTTATAGTTACAGGTGCAATATTCTTAATGTCAACTAATGACTTAGTATCTATTTTCTTAGCCATAGAATTGCAAAGTTATGGCTTATATATATTAAGTACAATATATAGAAATTCAGAATTATCCACTACTGGGGGATTAATGTACTTTTTATTAGGGGTTTAAGTTCTTGCTTCATATTATTGGGAACAGGTTTATTATATGCTAATTCAGGAAGTACTAGTTTAGATAGTTTATATATTATAACTAGTATAAGTGATATAAATTCAGTAGATCTATGATATAAACCTTATTATATTAATCTTTCTTTAGTAATATTTACTATAGGATTTTTATTTAAAGTGAGTGCTGCTCCTTTTCATTTCTGATCTCCTGACGTATACGACGCTATACCTACAGTAGTTACAACTTTTGTAGCAATAGTTGCCAAAATATCTATTTTTATATTATTATTACAATTAGTATATTATACAAATAGTACTATTGTAGGAGTACGTCCATCAATTAATGGAGAAATGAATTGAACATTCCTTTTATTAATGAGTTCTCTATTTTCATTAGTAATAGGTACGGTTGTAGGTTTAACTCAATTTAGAATAAAAAGATTATTAGCTTATTCTACTATATCTCATGTAGGATTTATGTTATTAGCTTTAGGAATTTCAAGTGTAGAATCCACTCAAGCCTTTTTATTTTATTTAACACAATATATAATTAGTAATGTAAATGTATTCTTTATTTTAATAGCTATAGGATATTCTTTATATTGTTATACAAGTGAAAATAAAGAACATGAAGAATTATTAGATAAAAATAATTCACCAATTCAATTAATAAGTCAATTAAAAGGTTATTTTTATATAAATCCATTATTAGCATTAAGTTTTGCTATAACTATATTTTCATTTGCAGGTATACCACCTCTAGTGGGATTCTTTGGTAAACAAATGGTATTGAGTGCTGCTTTAGATCAAGGTTTAATATTCTTATCTTTAGTTGCTATATTAACTAGTGTTGTGGGAGGTATTTATTATTTAGGTATAATTAAAGAAATGTTTTTCAGCCAACCAGACTATAAAATTAACACTGTATTAGAAAATTTAACATTAAAAGGTTATCTTGCTAACAATAAAACAGTTGTAGGTGTAGGCTCTGCTTACGCAAATGACACAAACTTAAGTTTTAATTACAAGAATATTGTATTATCAAGTCCTATTGCATTTGTTATTTCTACTATTACATTAGTTATATTGTTATTTTTATTTATGAATAAAGAATGATTAAGTATGGGTGCCGTTTTGGCTCAAATATTGTTTAATTATTAAAATGAGTAGTGTTACTTTTTTATTTATATTTGTATCTATTTTAACTATAGTATTTTTAGCTCTTAATTTTTTACTAGCTCCGCATAATCCTTATCAAGAAAAATATAGTATATTTGAATGTGGATTTCATAGTTTTCTTGGGCAAAATAGAACACAATTTGGTGTTAAATTCTTTATTTTTGCTTTAGTTTATTTAATCTTAGATTTAGAAATATTACTTATTTATCCTTTTGGTTTAAGTGGTTATGAAAATGGTATTTATGGTTTATTAATCGTATTAATATTTACAGCCATAGTTACAGCTGGATTTGTTTTTGAATTAGGTAAAAATGCACTAAAAATTGATAGTAGACAATCTAATAATTACTTCTATAAATCTAATAAATTTATTCATACTTTTATCGAAAGTAAATAAATAAAGCATTTACGTACTGTGTATGTATAAGACTAGCCTTATAACTAGTAATACGGTTAAGAAGTGCTAAATTAGATTTTTTTTTTGATATTATGAATAGTAGAGGTCTAACGAAACCAGCATTAAAAGTTCGGGTATTTAGACATTAATATAGTATAGTATGTTATTAGAATCTTCAAAAGTAATAGGTGCAGGACTTGCTACAGTTGGATTAGCTGGAGCAGGAGTAGGTATAGGTGTAGTTTTTGGGTGTTTAATAATAGGAGTAGCTAGAAATCCTTCTTTAAAAGCCCAATTATTTTCATATTCTATTTTAGGGTTCGCTTTCTCAGAGGCTACAGCCTTATTTGCTTTAATGATGGCTTTATTATTACTTTATGTTATATAATTTAATTATGCTTTGCTGATTCGCATAGCACTAACATTGCGCGGTGGTGGTTTGGTTTTACACACACACGCACTAGTTATACATGCCAGCAGCCAGCAGAAATGCCTGCATATTTTGTTACGCAAACTTTAACTATTATCTACTTTGGTAGATAAGTTAATAAAGGGAATTAGTTTAATGGTAAAACAAGATGCTACGGACATCGAAATTATAGTTCGAGTCTATAATGCCCTTGGTATAATTGTCCATGTATAATTATACTCACGGCGATATATCAATTTAATAAATTAGTGTTATACATATATCGTCATCTGAATAATTTGAGATAATAAAAATAAAAAAAAATGAGTTTAACTTTAGTACTTTTTTTAATTGGAATCTTAGGATTCGTATTTAATAGAAAAAATATTATATTAATGCTTATTTCTATAGAAATAATGTTATTATCTATAACATTTTTAATATTAATAAGTTCCATAAATTTGGATGATATAATAGGACAAACGTATGCCGTATATATAATAATAATAGCTGGTGCAGAGTCTGCAATAGGTCTAGCTATATTAGTGGCATTTTATAGATTAAGAGGAAGTATTGCAATAGAATATAAATAATGTATTTAAGTATTATAATATTACCTTTATTAGGATCCATAGTATCAGGATTTTTCGGTAGAAAAGTTGGTGTAACAGGTAGCCGTATTTTAGGTTGTTTATGTGTACTAACAACAACAATTTTAGCTATAATTAGCTTTTTTGAAGTAGGATTTAATAATAATCCTGTTTCAATTAATTTATTTAAATGATTAGATAGTGAATCATTTAATATATTATGAAATTTCCAATTTGATAGTTTAACAGTATCCATGTTAATACCTGTATTAATTATTAGTTCATTAGTACATTTCTATTCTATTGGATATATGAGTCATGATCCTCACAACCAAAGATTTTTTAGTTATTTAAGTTTGTTTACTTTTATGATGATTATATTAGTAACAGGTAATAACTATTTATTAATGTTTGTAGGATGAGAAGGTGTAGGAGTATGTTCTTATTTACTGGTAAGTTTTTGATTTACTAGAATAGCAGCAAATCAAAGTTCTATGTCAGCCTTTTTAACTAATAGAGTGGGGGATTGTTTCTTAACAATAGGTATGTTTGTTATACTATGATCTTTAGGTAATTTAGATTATAGTCTTGTATTTTCATTAGCTCCGTATATAAATGAAAATATTGTGACTATTATAGGAATTTGTTTATTGATAGGAGCTATGGCGAAAAGTTCTCAAGTAGGTCTTCATATTTGATTACCTATGGCCATGGAGGGTTGGTTTAACTGGGCTCTCCTTAAATTTCACTATATGCGGGAACACCCCGTTTTAAATTCTTGGTCCTCTGTTTATTTTATAGACTTCGGCAAAATCCAAGAAGAGGGACAATCCGCAGGAAACTTTGTAGAAAACAACAAAGGCTCCTCAGAGACTACATGTGAAACAATTAATATAAATAATAAGTTTAAATGATGATTTATAGGTTTTACTGAAGGAGATGGATCCTTTATTATAAATAAAAATGGGTATTTAGAGTTTAAAATCACACAATCTAGTGTGGATGCTCAAATATTATTTTATATAAAAAAAGAACTAGGATTTGGATCTGCTTCTGTACAAGATAAAATAAATAAAACTCATCATTTTAGAGTTAGAGATGATAAAAAAAATATTTATAAATTAATTCAAATTTTTAATGGGAATATTGTAACTAATTATAAATTAAATCAATTTATAATGTGAGTTGATGCATTTAACAAAATATATAAAACAGATATAAGTTGTATAAATTCTAAACATGAATTAACTTTAAATAATGCATGATTATCTGGATTTACCGACGCTGAAGGTTGTTTTACTTCTTCTACGTCAATATCCAAAAAAACAGGTCAATCTATAACAACGGTAAGATATGTTATTTCTCAAAAAGATGACATAGAATTTAGTAAAGATTTAGCTGTAAAAATCAATGGTTATATTACTCATGTTAAAAGTTATAATGGTTACAATACTGTGGTAAATTTTGGTAAATTAAGTATAATTTTATTATATTTAAAAAATTACCCATTAAAAACAAAAAAGTTTATATCATACAAAAGATGATTAAAAATTTATGAATTAGTTAAAAATAATAAACATTTAACTCCTGAAGGTAAAATTATTATAAAATTTTTATCTAAACTTATTAATTAATTGAAGATATAGTCCGAACAATAACGTGAGTTATTGAGTGTTTTCATCGTATACGTACAATAAAAGTACATAATGAAAACCAACATAATTGCCAACACCAGTATCTGCTTTAATACATGCAGCTACAATGGTTACAGCTGGAGTATACTTATTAATTCGTTCATCTCCTTTAATTGAATATAGTTCAACAGTATTATTAATTTGTTTATGATTAGGTGCTATAACAACGGTATTTAGTTCATTAATTGGATTATTTCAACAAGATATTAAAAAAATTATAGCTTATTCTACTATGTCTCAATTAGGTATGATGGTAATTGCTATAGGATTATCTTCTTACAATGTGGCTATATTCCATTTAATAAATCATGCTTTCTATAAAGGTTTATTATTCCTAGGGGCAGGTGCAGTTATTCATGCTGTTGTAGATAATCAAGATTTAAGAAAATACGGAGGATTAAGAACATTCTTACCTTTAACATATACAGTTATATTAATAGCTAGTCTTAGTTTAGTAGCCTTCCCATTTATGACAGGATTTTATAGTAAAGATTTTATTTTAGAATCTGCATATGGTCAATATCATTTTAGTAGTATAAATGTTTATGTTATCGCCGTTATAGGTGCAATATTTACTACATTATATTCTGTAAAAGTTTTATATTTAACTTTCTTAACTAATCCTAATGGATCTATAAATTATTATAAAAATGCACATGAAAGTGATATTTTTATAAGTTTACCCTTAGTTGTATTAGCAGTATTTTCAATATACTTTGGATTTATAACTAAAGATATTTATATAGGTTTAGGTTCAGGTTTTTTTGTAGATAATAGTATATTTATACATCCTTTACATGAAATATTAATTGATACAGAATTTGGGGTACCTACTATATTTAAATTAATTCCTTTTGTATTAACTTTATCATTTTCAGCTATAGCAATAATATATCCTGAATTTGTTCCTAAAGCTGTAACAAACTTTAAGTTATCAAATTTAGGGTATTATATATTTGGTTTTTTTAATCAACGTTTTTTAATTGAATTCTTTTACAATAAATATATTGTAAATAAAGTGTTATTTTTAGGAGGTCAAACTACAAAAATTTTAGATAGAGGAAGTATAGAATGAATAGGACCTTATGGAATTTCAATGGTTTTAAACAAAGTAAGTAAAACTATTTCTAGTTTAAATAAAGGAGTTGTAACAGATTACGCTCTTTATATTTTAATAGGTGTATGTTTTTATTTATCTATATTTACATTCTTTTCGGTATTTTCTGATATAATATATAGTATTACAATAACTTGTATAATTACATTAATAATTTATGGTTCTTGAAGTTTTACATTTAGTGAAGAATTTTCTAATAAAGAAAATTTAAAATCTAGTATTTGAGTAGGACTGTGTAGCTGACCCCGGATTACATATATTTTTTTTCTATGCCAGCATAGGAGGAAACTTTAGAATAGTTATACTTTTTATATATTTTATAATTACATGATCTATAGGTATTATGGATCTAGATATAATTCGTTTAGATGAAGAAGAAATAATGAAAAATATTAGTGATAATACTACAGAAGCTTATAATAATAGCAATGAAAATAGAACTAATAATGATAATAGAATACTTGATAAGAATAACAGTGCGGTAGATGATAACATAAAAGATAGTGATAATGATTCATCAAATCTACCACCGATGCAAGCATTCATAGAAAATAATCTTGAATTAGGTTTATATCAGCAATTGAGTGAGCTTGAAGATAAGTGGTTAGGGTGAGAAAGAGAAGATTATGAAAAAACAGGAATATTACCTGAGGAGAATCACCATGATATAGTACCAAGAAGAAGACAAAAAGATGCAAAGATAGAACAAGAACTAATTAAAAAAATAGAAGAATTTAGATTATCCGAATCTCCAGGAGATATAGGGTCAAATCCAAAAAGAGACTTAGACACATTATATGATGATAATAATGAAGATGAAAATTAGTGCTTATTTCATAGTAGGCAGAAGTAAGGATGGCAGAAATACTACTAAAGATTAATTAAGGTAGTCCTCTTAATCATCCTAGCATAGATTGCGCTGTTTAGCTGTAGCACTAGCGTGTGAAATCAAACCACTCGTATACATAAAAATTAACTTTATACATGTAACAGTAGTGTTATGGCATCGTAAACAAGTACGCAGACACGTTATTATACTATGACTAGTACTCTAAATAAAAGCTTTAATTTTATTTAGTAATTTGCATAAGCTGCAGTGTATGTCCGCTTACCGGGTACATACGGCAATATTGGCCTTCCGATTCTAAAATCGAGATACATTTGTAAAAATTACGTCGTAATGTATTGGCTTTATAGCCTAAAATAAAAATAAAAAAAAAATGCGTTTACTTAAAAGTCATCCCTTTTTAAGATTGTTTAATGCTTATCTAATAGATCATTCACAACCAAGTAATATAAATTATTTATGAAATTTTGGTTCATTATTAGGTGTATGTTTAGGTATACAATTAGTTACGGGTATAACATTAGCTATGCATTATAACCCTAGTGTATTAGAAGCATTTAATTCTGTAGAGCATATAGCATAATGTGTTCTTTAAATCAGGGGGATTGCTGGAAACTCTTTTTAATTTATATTTAAATATGACAATCAGCAGGAAATCAAATATAAGAAAAACGGTGACAAACCTATGGTTTATTCTTATTAAGTGGTATCTTCAGAGACTATGTACCTGACATCTATTAATATAGATGATGATATAGTCCAATCTCTGCTGTAAAGCAGAGAAGTATAGATTATATATCTATGCCTTTTAGTAGGCATAATTTTATTATTGTTTATTTGTGTATCAGGTTCTAAAAATAAAATGGGATTTCGTAACTATACAACTTTAAGTAAAAAATCTGAGACGGAGATCGCTACGAAGTGTAGCGCAGTCAATAATAACAACTCTACAAATAGAGACTTTT